AGTGTCTGTTGTGTTATACTTTTCCTTTGTTTTGTGGTTACTTGATGAGAATTTTTATGCAGCTGGGATGTTTGTATTTCCGTTTTTATGTTTCTTTTCCTACAGGAATTTTATGGGGAGTTTAATTTTCCTCCTGTTCCTTGCCATTTCATGAGCTGGGTTACTAGTTCAAGAGCACTCTTTCCTGTCAGTTTTGTGAAACATAGTTTGTAAATGGATGATGATGGTGGTAGAGAGGGGAAGGAGGAAAGAGAATTTCCTTGTCTTCTTTTTCTTTCCTGTATGCTGGATCCTTAAGAACCCTTCTTCCTTCTTTCCTTTCACTGCTGTCTGTAAGGGACATGATCCACTCTCAATTCACTTCTCTTAAGGAAATGACACTTGTCTGAAGTTGCCACTTTTGATGTTGCTTGATTTTAGACCCTTTCACTATGGCCAGTGCTGTGGGTCACTGCGTGCTCATATTTTGACATTCAATTGTGATAATTTTGTCCATTTTGTCAATATCTTGACGCTCCCTTTCTTTACTTGATGCTCCCTTTCTTTCATGGACTCTCTTAAATCTCTCCTTACCTTTCTCTCTGCACCCATAGACTCATAGCAACTGCTGTTGGATTTATATATATATATTATTGATTTCAGAGAAGTAGGGAGAGAGAAAGAGAGATAGAAACATCAATGATGAGAATCATTGATCAGCTGCCTCCTGCACACCTCCTACTGGCGATTGAGCCCGCATGTGCTTTTGTCCAGAATCAAACCTGGGACCCCTTAGTCTGCAGACTGATGCTTTGTCTACTGAGCCAAACCAGGTAGGGCTGCAGTTGGATTTTTAAAAAAATTTATAAATAACTTGAAGTTTGAAGTTTGGCATATTTTCTGACTTCTAGTAATGCCGATAGATTGGGTCACATGCGATTTAATTTGTGCTCTCGATGATTGTATAGGTACTGGGAGAAGGATGTTTGGAGAGAAACAGATTTAGATGGCTGCTATTATTCTTCATACTCAGAAGTCTCTAGAATACAGTAATTCATTGACCAGAAGGCATCATGTAACCCCTCTAAAATATGTGCTATAAAATAGTAAAATTATAGCATATAACTTACTTCTCATAACCATGACAATAAGAATTATTGACATGGATTGCCGTTCTAAATAATTTATCTTCAAATTAGTGAAATATAGGGACTGGCATAGGAATCATATGTCTTAACTCTAGAAAGGATACCAAGATACTGATGGTATCATAGAGGGTTTTAGAGCTGAAAGAAAAATTAGGGAAAGTCTAATTTAACCAAACATGCCATTCTATGAAAAGAAAGTAATTGTCCCAGGCTGCCCTGAGAGTTACAAGCAAGGATTGACCTAGAGCAAAGCTCTCTTGACTTCCTGTTCCTACTGCCTCTTTCATTAAATGGCCCCTTTTCTGGATCAGCCTTTAGTGTGTAAATTATCATCATGACCCCTTTCTTGTTGGGACAAAATAAATCACTTGCCCCAAATGACACATGTAGTAAGCGGGTGTGGGAAGAGCGGGGGCCTTGGTAAGCAGCGTCCATTCACTGTGCCGCACATGCATGTACTCTCTGCTCTCTCTCTTTCCTCTGATACTTAACGGACACCTGAAACAGTTCAGATCAAACTATGGGGCTGTACTATTCTAAGCAGAGTTCACTTCTAGTGCAGCCCTTTGTAAAGGGATGGACGTGGCTGAGTGTTGAAGGGGCACACAGGTACGCGTTTGCAGGGCTTGAAAAACAAAGGTTTACGGCCAGGCTTCTCCTCTCTGCCTCTAAAGCTGTGTGAGGTCTCGGTCCAACGCAGTCACCCAATTTCTGCCTGTGTCAAGTACAGTGTACTTGCTGTCGTAGTTTCCTGACTATTGACGGGTGGGTTATCCCTCAAATTCTTCTTCGGGCGCTCTTGAAATGAGACCTCATGGATGCCATGGTCCCTTGTGTTGAATTTTCTTTGTGAGCAAAGGACAGAAGGTTCTCTGCTGCGCCCACAGCACTTTCCCACAGACACTCAGGGGAAGCGCTTGCCCCTCTCAACAGGGCTCAACAGTCTTGACTGGAGTGCTTCAGAAATAGGCCTGGTTTGTGCTTTTCTCCAAACAAGCAGGGTCTGGGAATTTCTTGCTTGGGATAGCATGACGATCTGAATTTTTCCTAGGCAAGCCATGTGGATGGTGTTACCAAAGGGCAAATCATGGCGCTCTGATCCCCACTCAGTAAGGAGATCCTGGGATGCCAGCACTGCATGGTGAAAGTGAAGGTGGCATCTTGTGAAAAGAGAGGCCGGTGCTCCTGGGAGAAAAGACCGATGCCATGTGGAGGTGTGATTAGGGGACATGGAGTGCAGGATGCCCTGATGTGTCCAACTTGCAGTCCTGCAGGGAAAGCAGCTGGATTTACTATGATTTTTTTTTTTTCTTGATGGACTATGGTGATAGTCCATAGGTACATTTGGAAAGTCATCTATAACAATAAAAGTATAATATGCTAATTAGACTGGATGTTTTTCCTTTAGGACAAAGCCACAGTAGCTAGGGGCTGAGGCAGAAGTGGCAGAGGCAGCAGAGGCCCCGGGCCATGGCCAGGGCCCTTGCACAAATTTTGTGCATCGGGCCTCTAGTTGAAGTAATAATTAGAAATGATAACGGAAAAATCTTGAACCTGGAACTGGAACTTTCACAGAACTCTGTCCTAAGCATGCTGTATTTATTAGCATCCTTTGGGGTTTCCCAGAGGAACTTCTGTACCTCATTGCTCTGACTTTGAGAGCCCCTAGGTGAGCTGCCTGATGGCACTGAGTGGGGAAGTCAGGATTCTCCCTTCTGCGCAAGGTGGGCCCAGTGTGAAGGGAAGAGTTTACCTTGTCCTGTGAAGATCTCACCATGGGTAAAATTTGCTCAACTAGCACGTGACAAGTAAAGAAGAACAGTGGAGCCAAGGAATTTGTCCTCCCTCCCCCAACACACACATCCCACCACAGACACACTCCTCTTTTTCTTTTTTTCTTTTTCTGGGCTAAGAATTAAAGTACAAAATGAACTTATATTTTGGTTCCAGAGAGTCTAAAACAGTTGCTGCCACTTTTCTGAAAATATCTTTAACAATTATCCTGTTTTTCTCTCCAGTGTTTTCTCTCAAATGTAAAACCGTGGTTTGACGTGCAGGCTCTGAGACCAGATAGGCTGTGGGAGGATTGTGCTATCTTATTAAAACTCTCAGTGATGCAGTTCCTCATCTGTAAAATGGAGATGTATTACTATACAGGTGTGATAAGGATATATATATATATATATATATATATATATATATAATGATTAGCACATTGACAGGCACATAGTAAGTTCTCAATCAAGGGCATTTATTACTATCATAGCAGGAAATCTCTATTATAGTACTAGACTTTAGTTTGGCATTAGAAAACCAAAAATAGATAGAAATTAAATGACTAATTTTAGTGACCTGAGGACCTTCAAACTGAGCATATCTCCTAGGGAGGTCTGCTGAGCCTTTTACATTTCTTTCAACACCAGACCAAATACCCTGGCAACAAGTAAGCAGTGTGATTCCAGCAAGGCACAGCATGGCCTGCAGCTGTGTTTTCCTGATGATCCTACACATAGTTGAGGCTTACTTTAGAAAGCTAGAAACACACCCCAGTGAACAGGGACAGCTTCTATGGACAAGACTTTTTAAAAGTCATATTGCAGTTAAATCAGGTAAGCATTTATGAACTACCCTACCATATAGCCAGCACAGCCCTCAGAAAGTTAACGGTCCCATGTAAAGAGTGAGGGTGCAGCACGTTGATGCCTTCCTTAATCCTTATTTTTTTGTGTGTCAGCATTTTTTTAATTCAGAAAAAATATTTAAAAAGCAAATAGAAATAAAATAATAAGCTTTCTGGAACACTCCCTTTGGCAGAATCATTTGGGTGGTGATGGAGAATTTGCGTTTGAATCTTGGCTCTGCCACCTGCTAAACTGATGACCTTGGGCAAATCTTGTTCCTCCTTGGGCCTTCCCTTCCCTATCCATACAATGGGTTACCAATGTTTCCACTGAAGGGTTAATATAAGAACTGCATGGGGGATGTGTGTGTAATTCACAGGAGCACGTTCATGAGTGCCTATTTAGTTTCAGCCACGTTGGTTATTATTATTTGCATCTCTACCTTTCACCAGCCAGAAGTATTTTGTTTTGCATGATTGCTTACTGATGGCAAGTCAGGGGTGCCCTGCTGGTGCTGGAGTGAGTCTTGATTTGGTGCCTTAAGCACAATATGTCCTTCGGGGTGCTTGCAGAGCATAAAGACTATTAATATATATATATATATATATATATATATATATATATATATATATATATATATATATATATAAATAATGATTAGCACATTGACAGGCACATAGTAAGTTCTCAATCAAGGGCATTTATTACTATCATAGCAGGAAATCTCCATTATAGTACTAGACTTTAGTTTGGCATTAGAAAACCAAAAATAGATAGAAATTAAATGACTAATTTTAGTGTCCTGAGGACCTTCAAACCCTCACTCTTTACATGGGACCGTTAACTTTCTGAGGGCTGTGCTGGCTATATGGTAGGATAGTTCATAAATGCTTACCTGATTTAACTGCAATATGACTTTTAAAGGTCCAAAATATATATATATATATATATATATATATATATATATATATATATATATATATATATATATTTTTTTTTTTTTTTTTACAGAGAGGACAGGAGAGGGATAGAGAGTTAGAAACATTGATGGGAGAGAAACATCGATCACCTGCCTCCAGCACACGCCCCACTTGGGATGTGCCCGCAACGAAGGTACATGACCTTGAAGGGAATCGTACCTGGACCCTTAAGTCCACAAATCGATGCTCTATCCACTGAGCCAAACAAGTTAGGGCTTTTTTAAATTTTTTTATTTTTTTATTAATGCACGTTTTCCACCCTCCGGTTTCAGTATTCGGGATTTCACACGGAGAGATCGGAATCTGATCACGACAGCCAGTGGGGCGGCAGTCCCCTGACGGACACGGCCTCCCCGCAGCTCCTGGACCCCGCGGACAGGCCCGGCTCCCAGCACGAGGCGTCCTGCGCCTACCGCCAGCTCCCGGACCGCAGCGCGCTCTGCTACGGCTTCGCGCTGGACCACCCGCGGCTGGTGGAGGAGCGGCACTTCCACAGCGCGGCCTGCGAGGGCGGCCGCTGCGAGGCCGGCAGGTACTTCCTGGGGGCGCCGCAGGCCGGCAGGGAGCCCTGGTGGGGCTCCCGCGCAGCGCTGCCCCTGACCAAGGCCTCCCCCGAGAGCAGAGAAGCCTATGAGAACAGCATGCCGCACATCGCCTCTGCCCACAGGATCCACGGTAAGGGCAGCTGAGGGACCCCCCCGAGCCCGCGGGGGTAACGGGGGTGAGGGGGTGGGATGGGGATGGAGGGGGAGCCTGGGCAGGTGTTAGCATCCCAGGCTGGACACTGCAGTGACTGACCCAGGGATTTTCTCAGACTCACGCCAATGGGACTGAAAACACCAGTTCCACTCCCTTTAAGAGTCTTTACTTTGCTAATAGTTTTGCAAAATACATTTACGTTGGACAGGCGAGGAGAAATGATTCCTATTTATTTATTTATTTATTTATTTTTATGATTCCCATTTTAAACATCGAAAAGGTATAGGCAATGAAGTTAAAATGAATTGTTGAGTAAGTCTGTGGAACTTGCACTATGTATGTCTGCACATGTTTTTGTGTGTATTATGTCCTTCTGTATTGCCATGCTTCAAATGTGGGCATCCGTGGTTTGGGACTCGGTCTACCTTTGCTGCTCTCTGAGGGTACTGTTGGCATTTTGGTGAGGTGGGCAGTCTTTGTAGGATGGTCCATCACTCAGGTCACAGGAAGTTGAGCCTCTCTGGCATCGAATGCCAGTCACTGCCACCTTCTGTCTTCATACGACAGCCCACAATGTCTCTGTGTGTGAAGGATGGAGAGATATGTGGGACCCAGGAGATTTTTGTTTCACGGCTTTACAAACACACAGAAACAGACACTGCCGTGAAAGCCGGTAGTGTTACGTTACGAATACTCTTCTTTGTTCATCCAAAAAGAAACTGGTCAAGGAGCTCATTCTTTCTATTTCAAACTCGGGTCCAGGCAGGTCTTCGAAACCTTCTCTATTTTATTAAAAGTCAATGACATTAAGATTGATCCAATGTCCCTGAAATGACTTTTATTTCTGTGGCTTTAGAATGAGAAATGTTTACTCACCTGTAAAGTCTTCTGTCAGATACCCCCAGGCGCTGACTGCCTTCTATGATCTTTAAAAATATAAATTTTTATTGATTTCAGAGAAAAGAGAGAGAGAGAGAGAGAGAGAGAGAGAGAGAGAGAGAGAGAGAGAGAGAGAGACATCAATGATGAGAAAGAATCACTAATCAGCTGCCTCCTGCCTGCCCACACTGGGGAATGAGCCTGCAACCTAGCCATTTGCCCTGACCAGAATCAAACCTTGACCTCCTGGTTCATAGGTCTATGCTCAACCACTGAGCCATGTTGCCCGGGCACCTTCTTTGATTTTCATATTTCTGTTTTTGCTTTTTATTTGTGTCCTTTTACTCTGAGTTGCTCTAGTTTGGTAGACTGGTAATGGAAACCCAGGGCAAAGGGCAATTGCTTGCCAAAGGATGGAGTGAAATGAAAATCCTGGCTTAACCTACATCGTCTGAAAGAAAATATTAGAAATAAAGTAAGAAGAGAAGAGAACAGGAAAGCAATAGGTAGTGTGGTTCAGCGCTTCTCTGCCACATTAGGCAGTTTTCAGCTTTCATGTGTCCCTTCCTTTTCCTCTTCTTTCTTTCCACACTGACTTCACACTGCTTGAGAATTATTTAATTCACGGTATATATTTTTCCTGCACAATTAGATCTCTTTCCTTGGTTTAGATGAATTATTAACATTTAAATGTTCTATTTATTCTTCATCTTATTGCAGAAACAATCTAAGATAGTAGTTAAATATGATTATGTATAAAACTGAGATTTTTTACTTCTACATTTGAGAAGACAATATTTATATTTTTGATTGAGACAAGATATATTCATATCCACGCACACATCTACACATATACATGTATATGAATGTGTATATATGTTATTAGCCCTTAAACAATTTAAAAAGTACATTAGAGCTTTATTGTAATAAGTGTGCTTACTGTAAGATACATTAAGCAATATTCACACTTTAAGTGATTTGTTTGGAATTGAGAAAATAGTCCTGCCTATATCTTCTTCCTTAAAATTCTATTGAAAGCATTTTCTAAGCATCATTTTACATGGCATTTTCCTAGAAAATAACATCAACCAAATGCTATGCAGTTTTCTTTTGTTATTTATAGCTGGACAGGTCCGATGATGTGCATACATGAAGTAGAAACATGCTTCACCGTTCCGCTAATTGGCGCTCACAACCTACAAATGAGGCTTACATTCTAGAAAACTTGTTATAGACTCCATCTGCACTTAAAAGCCACAGAACTATGAATTCCAGTACAACATAGGAGACTCTGTCCTATGAGCCTGTCTGTTTCAAATATTGGTGCATGTGTTAAAAAAAAGAAAGATATAAGGGTTTTTTGTTGTTGTTTGTTTGTTTGTTTGTTTTTTGAAAAAGGAATACACCTACATTTTGCGGGGAGAGGGTGAATTTTGAGGCCACTTACCTTTTGCTTTTTCTCATTTCTAGGGCGAGGTCATTGGGATGAAGACAGTGTGGTCAGTTCTCCAGACCCTGGGTCCGCCAGCGAATCAGGTGACCGATATCGCACCGAGCAATATCAAAGTAGCCCGCACGAACCTAGCAAAATTGAAACTCTGATAAGAGCTACCCAGCAAATGATTAAAGAAGAAGAGAACAGGTTGCAGCTGAGGAAAGCCGCCCCAGACCAACTGGCTTCCATTAACGGAGCCGGGAAGAAACACTCCCTCTGTTTCGCAAACTACCAACAGCCCCCACCTACAGGCGAAGTCTGCCATGGCTCCACGCTTGCCAACTCTTCGCCATGTGACCACATCCAGCAGAGGGAGGGAAAGATGCTGAGCCCCCACGAAAACGACTATGACAACAGCCCCACGGCACTGTCTCGGATAAGTAGTCCCAATTCAGATCGCATTTCAAAATCCAGTCTGATCCTAGCTAAAGACTATCTCCATTCGGATATGTCTCCTCATCAGACAGCAGGAGACCACCCTGCTCTCTCTCCAAACTGCTTTGGCTCTCACCGGCAGTATTTTGATAAGCATGCTTACACATTAACTGGATATGCCTTGGAGCACTTATATGACAGCGAAACCATTAGAAACTATTCCTTGGGCTGTAATGGCTCACACTTTGATGTAACTTCCCATCTAAGGATGCAGCCAGACCCAGCACAAGGACATAAGGGAACATCTGTTATAATAACCAATGGAAGCTGATGTTTTTCTAAAATATTTTGTTCTTTAAGGATCTCTGAAACATATTTATAGTTTAATGCCCCATGACCAGTATTTACTACGCTACACATCATTAGAGAGGGTAATTTAAGTTACTGGGTGTTTGACATGTGTTCCTTTGAAATCAAAGAGAAAAAAAACAAAACAACAACAGCATTAGCATTCAAGGTTTAGCACAGATAATGGAGCTGAAGTGAGTACACAAATTTCCCCTCTAATTATATGGGAACAGAATAGATACACTTTTAATTGAAAAACACTTGTGTAGATTAAGTGAGCATGTGTACCACATGAAAGGACTGATGGATGACATCATCGTGCTGGGATGATCCAGTGACCCTCGTGCACACAGAGCGCTATCTACAAGCTGCAGTGTACACTTCCATGCAGAAATATAGACCATGTACCATCAGTTCACCCCAAATGGGTAACTTTCCTTAACCTTAGAACATTAAGATTATTAAAGAAATGTTTATTCTCAACTAAGAGAGAGAGAGAGAGAGAGAGAAATACATCTTGTAAAGTGTTTTCTTCTTCATGTTTCTTACCAGCCAGCTCATTTGGTTCAGGTATAAATTAGGGAAATGGTATAAGAATGCGTTTTCACTTGGTACCTATTATAAGCAATCAGGAAGTGGTGATTTTTTTATTTTTTATTTTTTTTTTTACCTTACTTTTGAGTTAGACAAGGAACAGGATCACATTGACATATCAGTGAGGGTTTTTCTAAGTGAAAGTACTGAGACATTGGGACACACATAAAAAACCTGGAGTGCCAATTGGAAATAGTGAAGCTAGGAAGGCCAGAGGCAAAATGAACCATTTAAGGTTCAGAATATGTAGTCAACATATTTGGGGCTTATAAAACCAACCCTCCCCAAATTCAAATTAATTCACCAAGAAAAAAAGGCTAATATGTGCAAAAACTAAGGAAAGAAACAGTGAAGTGCTACATGATAGCAGCTAAGTTTTTGACATTTCAAAGTACAGGTGTGCAAATGTGACAACATGTGGAAAGCCTCCAGAGAGAGTCTAAGACAAACGCTTAGGCTGATAGGCAAGGGATTAAAGAGGCAAGATAGCACTTAGAACAACAGGCGAAGTATTCATTTTCCTTATTGTTTTTTATTGTCTAAAGTTTTACATATGTCTCCTTTCCCCCAATTGACCCCCCACTCCCACCCCTCGCCTGCAGCCATTCCCACTCCGAGCAAGCAAAAACAATAAAATTGGTCTCAAATGAAACTGCAGAAAGACTAGCAGACTAAGAAGCCGAGATCTCTGGGTTCTGGTTCTAACCATGCCTATAACTGATTTTGGGACATAGATATATCACTCACCACACAGGGTCCTAGGATCTTCATCCAATGGCAGTTCTAATGTTCCACCGCTCTGTGGTTCAGTGATGCCACAGAACCGAACTTTTTAATCGGTTCACTCTCTGCTGTGAGTTGACAAGACTGATCGTTCTGGCCTTCCTGTACTCATAAAGAGGTCTAGATGCTTCCTGGCTTAAGCAGGTGCAAGGACTCTTTTAGGCATGTATAGTTACAGACAACTTTCTAGTTCAGCCGATATATAGAAGGTAAAACTGATGAGGGAGAAGAAAAATGAATACGATTTATCTAATGCACTAATTCTCTAAAAATCAAAGTGAGGTGACATGTTATTAGAGACATTTCATAGCTAATATTTTCTAGGAGCCCCATGCCTGAAACTCTTGCCATATTAAGAGGGAATGTATTGGAAGACACTGAGTTATAATTTTGGAGACACCATGACATTGAACACTCAGGGATTTAGTACTGTATTTTCATATAACACAGTCATTTGGCAATCCATAGGTAGGTGACAATCTGAATGCTGATAATCTGAGAAATGAATATTGGGTTGTTTGTACACGAGAAAAGTGGATACATAAAATTAAATAAATATGTCTTGGGTATGATGGAACAACATTGTGCTGTAAATGGAAAAAGTACAAGTGAGTGAGAAAGTTAGTGGTTATATATCCTTTCTAAAAAGTTCAAACAATAAAAACTACATTTTGAACTATCCAGGCAGAAGTATTCAGTATTTTTGAGAAAAAATATTTATAAGAAGCCCCTGGAATATTTAAGATGAATTTTTGATCATTCTGCAACATGAAATAAGGTTTTAGGAATGCTAAAGGTTTTGCAGACTTCTGTAGATGGAAAAAATGTTCAAATACAAATATCTGAAGAATATGGTGTTTTGGAAAGGAAATCTATACAGATGGATTTTATTGATGGATATACATTGTACTAAAAGGTCATGGGAAGATGCTGTAAAGGAAATAGAATCTTAAGAATTAAGGAAAATGAACTAATATTAAAGAAAAGACTGTCACTAAAGAAATTTCAGTGGGATATTTATATGGAAGAAAGTTAATTGAGGAAAGATGTAAATTGTAAGTTCTATAAATGGGGTAATCAGAAGGACTAATGTTCTTTAAAATAGTATGACCAATATTTTTAAGTGAGGGTAGAATTACATCTTAAATTAATTTTTTTGATAGATTGACCCATTTTTAAATATAAACATTTTCTTTACTTTATATGTCATAATTGTATAATATCATATTTATTACATTACATATAATGCCATACAGGCCTACAGTATTCTAGAGCTTACTTTTTTTTTTTTTGCAGTGTGGCACGATTATTGCAGAATGACCCAAGATAAAATGAGATAGGTTATGGCAAGGCAACTTTTCAATATACTGTACACATAGACATGTTAAAATCTATTTATAATCTACATTATTTTGTTCTGTGCAGAAACATATTGCCTCAAAATGAAGATGTTATCTGTGTTTTTAAAATTTGGGATGTAAAATATGTATGCTCCCCATAACTTGATCAGTTGAAATTAAACTTGAATTGGCTTTAGTTTTAATCCTTGATTTCCATAACTTGTTTAAATTCTGAAAGTCATGAAACTTGACTGAAATAGACAAAGAAGTATGATTTTTATAATATATCACCTTGGGGATTCATACGGATGTGCTCTATCCAAGTACTCTTACAATATGTAACAGTTCATTAGATGAAACAAAGCTCGTGCTTTCTAGTAATAATGATATCTTTCTTTATTGCCCATTTTATCTGCCTGCCCTACCTAATTTATTAATTTGAGTGACCAAAGGAAAAAATGAATATTTCCCCCATCGTTCTTTAGAAAATTTTGTTTAAACTATTATTGAGAATACACAAATTTGGCATCTATTTTTGGGTGCATAGTATTATTGTCACACTCATGTTAGGTGTGCTTCTGCTCCATATTTTGACATGCTATTTTGAATATAATGGACCAGCTTTTCTAAACTGTAATTGCTTGATACAAGATAATTTGACACAGTGCTGATGTGACATTCAAAATGAGACAGGATGCAATAAATGGTTTGCCTTTGGTAAATCCACTCATTCTTTCCTGATGTTATTTTATGGGATTCGACTATTTTCATTGGGTAGTATTCTTAATTTTCTCTTTTCCCTGCTGCCACATGATGCCTCTGGGCAGAGAATCCACTTAAAACAAGCTTTAATAGGATCTTTTGGAAAAGGATAATATGCTCCATTTTCTTTTTCTTAAATGAGGAATGAAGATTGATTCAATAAAAGATCATTTGGAAAATATGCATAGATATTTTAAAATAAAAAGACCAACTAATTCTAATAGAAGACACTATCGCTAAAGAGGCATTCTGAATGTAGGGATGATTATTTTGTAGTTCGCTTTCTCAAGAGCAGGACATTTCTAAGGTGTCCAGTGAAATTCTATTGGTGCTAGAATTTGGAAGTGACCGAGTGAATGCTGATATTTGGAAAACTGAGGATTTGGCCATTTGGGGTCACTTATCTGGCCCAGTGGATAGCTTACACTTTAATATGCTCTCTTTAATTTAAAAAGTTTGAATGCCAAGATCTGACTCCCCAGTTCACCCAAATCACAGGAAGTAGATATACATTCTATTTTCTAAGAGGCTTGATAAAGAATCTAAATCGTATGGTTCTCTAAGTGATTCAAGTTTTATGTAAATGTCAGTTATCTCAAATACGAATTTGACTCTAAAGACAGCAAAATCTGTTGGTTAGTTTTTACTGGGAAATGCACTGTGGATAGAACATTCATTATCATTCTGAGCTTCAAATGAATGACAGAACAGCTATGAACATATGGAAAGGATATCTTACATAGAAAATGTTCTTGGGGGCAATTTCCGTGTGGTGCTCATTTCTTGTGCAAGAGAATTGTATGGGTAGTGCTTAACTCAAGCGCTGAGCGTGTGCTCAGATCCGAACAGGGGTTTGTTCAGAGTTCCTTCCCTAAGATTGTATGCAGAAAGGCTATATGTGTGTATTCATATATTTGTACACATGCACATTTATGTATACATATATGTATGCACACACATGAATTGTAAAGCAAGAAACAAGATTGTATTCTGCTGTGCTCCTTAAAAACTGATGGTTCACATAAGAAATCCTAATGAATTATTGTAAGCCAAACATGTATAGTTTTAATTACCGTAATTTTGCTGCATGGGGCTCTGCTTTTATAAATCTATATAGTGGAAAATTTGTCCTAATTTGCTGATCTGGAACACATTTAATCACAATTGAATTTACACCCAACAACCCTGGAGTGTTTACATTTCAAAAGAAATGAAATGGCGTGAAAAGTTTTTAGAAGTACTGTAACTTTTTCCGTTTTCTTTTTTCCAAAGGGGGGTATATTTCAAAAAAGAAAACATATGAGTAGGCATTTCAAAAAAAGAGAAAATATTTTGTGTTTGTTTTTTTGACTGACATGCTATAAGAAGGATTATATTTGTGAAAGAAGATACTGATTGCCAATATTTCAAATACCATCTTGCAATGTAAAGTTTTTAGTGACATCGTAGTATAAATCTGTAATATGAACTTTTACTTTGGAATGTAAAGTAGAAAATATTAGCTATGTCAATGATATCTTGCAAAATGCTCCCATTTATAATTATTTATATTGTAAATAGCTTTCTGAAGTAAATTCGAAGTTAACATGTGCATAAAATGTATTTATTATGTGACGAATTTCTGGTTTTAAATATAGTTACCAATATGCAGTTTGTGTCTGAATTATTCATTTACAGAAATCTTTATAGGATAAAACAGACCGACACCCAGAAGATTAGAGTTGTAAAGAAATAAGGACTGTTTTAGCCTTAGATTCTGTTGAATGGTTAATATCCACACACACACACACACACACACACACACACACAAACACACACACACACACACACACCACTTTAAGAGACTTAGCATTAGGATCTTACATACATTCCCAGTAACAATTAAATGATGGGCCTAATTTTTATTAGACACTGAAGACTATTTTCTCAATTTTCATTACAACATCTTAAGCAGCACTTCTTTGGTCTCCACTTTTCTAAAATAAAGCAAGAAATTTGAAAGTACAGATTACATTTTTAATGCCCAAGGGAAATGAAAACCTGTAAGATTGAGGTTATTTAGTTTGCTGTCATTCAACAACAAATTAAAAACACATCTCAAATAATTTTTATTTTGGAATTCAAGGTATTTTTTACATTTAAAATTAGGAATTAAGACCAAACAAAAATAGATTTTCAGTGGTTTTCTCTTAAGCATTTTTATAGCACCCAACATTTTCTTTCTTCTGAAACTTCTGATTTACCTAGATGTATTCCAGAAATTGTCAATTTAGACAATTCAACCAACCAACACAGTATATTTTTAATTCAACAGAAATATTGTTTGTATTTCATATTTTTTGACAAAGTTGCATAAAATGTCATTGCTATTAGTATTATAGCACTTATAGGATTTTTTTCTATCATGATGTTTTTTTTTTGCTTCTGAAAGTAGAATTTTCACCCACTTTATACTCTAAAATAACAGTTTTAATCCACAATACTTAAGGACTACCTATTATTGTATATGCCCCAAATGGAATAGATAGTGAGAATCTTTCTCATTGTAGGATATTATGGAAAAGGCACATACAGAAGATCTTTGGTTTTCTTTATGCGCTTTGAAAGTGTAAAGTCTTTATATAATCATAAATATGACAAGTATTTATTTAATCACTATGTGCCAGGCTCTGAACCCAACTCAGGTTATCACTGAAACCTGAATAGAGACCATCACAGAGGGACATACCAATATGCCCAATTTCAATAGTGCGGGGGAGAAAGAAAGTGAGACAGAGTGGTTAAGGAACTTAGTGGCACAGCTGGTAAGTGGTGGAGATGAAATTTCAACCTAAGCAGGTTTACTCTCAAGTTTTACTTTAGCTCATTCTGTATTCTTTCAATAATAATAAAAGAAAAATTAAGTGAAAGAAAGCAGTGTTTAAATGGTGGTTGCATGAGAGAGATCACTCAGCCCAATGGACAGTGGCTCCGGTGGCCCCAGATACATTGCTATTCCTCCATATTGCACTGCACTTGATGACCAGCCTTGGGATGCAGAGGCCAAGGCTGTGGCTCTCTTACACGGCATTCGCCTTCCAACTGAATGAGCACTACATGACCATGATGCCGAGAAAACTCTAGGGCACATAAACTCTACGCAGATTATCCCTATAAGATCCCCATGATATTAGAAAGAAATATTTTGAGGCTTTCTCCATGAACAAAACACAAGTGGCTTAACTGCTCATTTAAAAAGACACAATTTTTTCACCCAAGGTTTTTTGGATAGTCAACACAAAAATATTACCTTTTCATGACAGTCCTTAAATACTCTGTTCTGTGTCATGGAAATCTTTTCTTCCTCTCTGGATAAAAAAACAACCAAAGGCCACTCTACCAAGAACTGGCATGTCTGTATCGCCTGTGTTATTTAAGGCCCCAGTTTTGAGGATGCTTGGTTAGTTGAGCTTACGGGGCTGTGGCAACTGCTACATTATCATTTGCAAGAAAACTGAAAGTTATCTGACAGGAAGGCTGCCCCCCTCAGGAACACAGATGATTCCTATGAGATGGCTGCCTCCGTGGTGGTGGGAACTGCCAGGTGCCAGCAGCTTAGGCAGCCTGCCAACCATCCCGGCCCGGCCTCCGCCTCACAGTGTCAGGGGGGTCGATCCGCTGGAGCACTCCTTGGCCTTTTCATAATGATACTTTATGGCTGAATATGTGCTGCATTTACCAATAGAATGAGGTCCAGGGCGGGAGACATGAGAAACAGCCCCTGCTTTGGGAGTTTGTAAATAATCTCTTTGTTCAGCTCCCTCCGCCCCCAGGTCAGGCTCCTGGGTGCGGAGTAATTCCATATGGGAATCTTACTGGAGTGCCATCTAAGTAAACCTTAAAGGGAATCTTGGCAGTGTCTCCCGAGCCATAAGGAAATCATTCTCTGTTTCTGGGGAGCATTTTGTGATAGCTTTGCTTAGTATAGATCTATATTAAAGAAACAAAAACAAAAACTAATCCTGAAGAGAGCACTTGAGAATGGGTAATTGGGATCTAATGTGAGAAGAGTCATCCGGACTATAATTGAGGTTCATTATTCAATGCATTTCTACATTTCTAATTTCTGATTTCAGCCCTTGTATTAGTCGCATGCCCATTAGGCCAGACAGGGCTTGCCTATGGTGCCATGCTAAACTTTTTTTTTTCATTTAAAAGGTCAGAGACACATTTTAAATCAACATATGCAATTCTGTTACATAATTAAAGGCCATCAATAGCTAAGAAAAAATTTTGAGGATGGAGAGGAGAAGAGGTGGGAAGACTAACATATCTTTGCTCTGGGACTTAAATACATCTTGCAAACACCTGTGTTCTTGCTTAAATACCTACACTTGCTCTATAATTGACCTGGGTGCTTTTCCTGCATAAAATTAACATACCTAGAAGGTACCTTAATATAAGACTTAGATTGTTTTATTATTTTATAAAATTATATTTTTATTGATTTGTTTTTAGAGAGAGAGGAAATGAGAGAGAGAGAGAGAGAGAGAGAGAGAGAGAGAGAGAGAGAGAGAGAGAGAGAGAGAAACATCGATGTGAGAGAGAAACAGTTACCTCCAGCACACACCCGACTGGGGACTGAATTCCAGCACACAACCCAGGCATGCACTATGGCCTGAAACTGCACTGGCAACTCAACTCTCCAGTGCATGAGATGACATTCAATCAACTGATCCTCCCCAGCCAGGGCTAGACTGTTTTGTTCTTGCAATTCAGTTTTCTCTCATGAGCACTGCTGCAGCTCCACTTACTGTCCACAGAAGGAAACAAGGTGGCTAAAGAACCCTACGCCTCTTTCACATCCCCGTGGCTGGTTTGAGGCCAGGTCCCCAGGTCTCCTTATTAGAGATTTTTGTGATGTGCCCTATTACTCCAAATTTTTACTTTTTTCTCAAGCTCACTTCATCCTGCAGACCTGACATTTTACTTCAGTGACCATCTCTAAATGAGGATGAAGAAAAGAGGCATCTATATCCATTGGGTTACCCTCCCAGTTACAGAAAATAACATCGTCTTGTCATCCAATCTATGGCACTTTATAAAAGGAAGAGATTGAGATGGTCTCCTTATGTCCCAGTGAAGCCTCTCTTTGGACATCCCAGCCTTCAATCCTTTACCACTCCCTTCTTCTGCCCACCCTCATCTCCTTCCTCTCTGTTTTGCCTTGTCTCAGCTCCTCTTGGACTTTTCAGTATGCCAGTGTTCCTTTGACACATCCTCAGGTACATGCATACACGTGCGGGCTGCACACACACACACACACACACACACACACACACACACTCACACACACACACACACACACACACACACACACACACACACTCTCCCTGCTCAGTTGCTCTGGACTTGCCCTTGTGGCTACTGTTTTAAATCCTGAGAGCAACGTGAATGTTACTCTGAGTTGAAGCCTGAGTGCTCTGAGCCCTCGATATCTCTTCCCAACACGTCCAAATACACAGTCTCTGTCCTTGTTTCCTGCCTGCTTCTCTCCCCCACTGGTGGCTTCCTCTGCGGCAGGGGGATGTGAGGTTTCACAGCCCAGTGAGCAGTGGAGGGCGTGGGTGAAGCAGGGCCCACGGAGCCTGGGTGCACAGCAGCTCGCTTCATAGGTGGTGGTGAAGCCTGGGGACAGGGCCATGCCCTTCTCCTTCTCCCATTTCATCATCCAGTCAGTGTGCTGCTAACACTTGGCGCCTCCATGGGCTGACCTGCTGCTGGCCACCTGCCCCCGGAAGAGAAGTGTAGCCCCTGACTCAGGGTCACGTTGGGGGGCAGTGGTGAAGGGGAACCACAGGCCCTTCCACCACTTTCCTTGGTGCTGCCTCGACTCTGAAAGATGCCTGGGGTGGTAGTGGTGGCTTTCCTTAACCACCCCCTTCCCCCTCTGCCTGGCACTCACATTTCCCTCAACTCCCCATGTGGATGCTCCTAGCCGTCCTCTCAGGCTCTCTAGGTGTTTGTCTGGGCTGTTTCATTAGCAGCGAATACCTCAATGCGGAGACTGTTGTCCATCCTTCTGTGGCCTCCAGCTCCGGCCCCCAGCACAGAGCCTGCTGACCCAGGACAGAAATGCGTTCAGTACGTGTTCCATGACTGAAGAAATGCTGCCTCACAAATGATGGTGTATTGTAGGCTATTTCTTTTATTATTATTATTATTATTATTATTATTATTATTTTATTGATTAAGGTATCACATATTTGTCAAAGCCCTCCTCCCCCGCCCCCATTCCCATCCCAAACCTTAGTCCAGAGTCACTGACATAGAACTTGCTGGGGCTTGTATTACTGGAGGAATAGCCTGGAGTCAATAAACATCGCTATATTTGCTTCCTGGTTTCTTTGCTGGTGAGGAGGCTGCAACTGCTTACTGCCTTCTGATTCTGAGACCTGAGCCATCCCATTCATGTGGACAATTCTGGCCCAGGACTTGTACACTGATGGGGATGCTGCATTTGTGACACCTTGGTTCCTGGCTTGTGGTGAGTATGAGCACCTCTGTGTCCTGTCTCTCCTCCCCTCTCAAAGCTACCTTTTCCTCTCATTTCCTCTCAAACGCTCCTTTTGCTTTTTTGATGCATATTTCATTTTCTAAGTTGTGTTGTAT